CTAACCCTGCCCCACTTTTATTCTTTACTCAAAGCCTCTGTCTCCCTGTAATGTACTGTATAAGTTATTTATTTTTCATGTGTTCATTTTCTGTCTTAACTGCTACCTGCCCCTATTCTTGATAGAATAGAAAGAGGGAAAATGAAAGCAGAAATCATTTGTTCACTGATGTAAAAAATTCCCTCTAAAAGTGTCTGGCACATAATAGGCATTCAAGTATTCATTGAATGAATGAATGGTGATAGAGATGGGGAAGCTTTCCCTGTTTTTCCCACCACATATAATTCTCCTTCATCATTTAGCGCAACTTTTGACTTGCTCTTTTCTCTGCTGAGATTCTACCCCTGGGTTGTTTACATTCTCGTTTTCTTCTCTTCACTGTAATTGTTGTTGAAATGTAATCAACTGTCAATGTCATCTTGGCTTCTTGGCCAACCAAACGCCAGCTAGAGCATTTCAAATATTAATACACATGCCATTCTGGGCTCCCCTGGTAGCTTAGCTGGTAAAGAATCTTCCTGCAATACAGGAGACCCTGGTTGGATTCCTCGTTCTGGAAGATCCCCTGAAGAAGGAATAGGCCACCCCCTCCAGTATTCTTGGCCTTCCCTGATGACTCAGCTGGTAAAGAATCCGCCTGCAATGCGGGACACCTGGGTTTGATCCCTGGGTTGGGAAGATCCCCTGGAGAAGGGCATGGCAACCCACTCCAGTATTCTTGCCTGGAGAATCCCCATGGACAGTGGAGCCTGCGGGCTACGGTCCACAGAATCACAAAGAGTCGGACACGACTGAGTGACTAAGCACATGCTATTCTACTGAAGAAAACATGAGTGACATACATAGGCATTAGCGCTTTTAAATGGCTTATTCAGGGTTGCCGGTCCAGTCAGTATGGAGAATAGCCAGTACCTTAAAGGGCAGGACTCCAGTTTGATATCGTCCAAGAATGGATAGGAGAAAGAAGAGCACATTGAATGGAATTAAACGGGAACAAGTGTTGTGTGGGACAGAGATGCTAGATAGACATATGCATACATACGTAGGTTCCTTCCCCCTTTTATGGCACAGCTGCATTTGGATTTACTAGTTCTGTGTCTGAATCCCACTAGTCTCTTCTGATACCGGGTGTAAGGAACAACTCCCTCAGATTCCCTTCAGAATCACAGGATGTCATCTCATATCTTAAAAGTTTCTCTTTCCTTTCTGTTGTGTCTATTATATGTTTGTTGTACAAGTGCCGGGCCCTGAGAATGCAGGAAGAAATAAAGTACATGTGCTTTGTATCCTCACGGAACGCACAGTTCCATCACGGTTCTGTAATGGACACTTTTATCACTGCTGCGCTTTGCAGATCTTGTATTCCACAGCTTACTCTAGGCTTGGCCTTGTAGAGAAGTAGAAAGTAACTGGAGAAGACACAGATGCTTTGATTTCTTTAATCTGAGAAGATTGCATTAATATGATTATTTCTAGGCTATTCAGCATATTTTTCTTGAGCATTTGTTCTGGACCCTGTTCTAAGTGCCAGAATCAGAGGTGGACAAAATACACAGAGTGACTGCCTCCATGAAGATTCCAATCTAGTGTAAATGGATGATATTCTGTAAACCCCAAATCAGTGAAAGAAACTTCCACAAAAAATTACCTAAGTCTCGACAGTTAAATATTTTTCCTACCTGTGCCCCATTTTTCATTTCCATGGCAATCTACCAAAGATAGGAAATCAGGAGTTAGAAAAGTTAAGGGTGAGTTCTTTACTGGGCAAGTCTACTTGCCCGCTGCGCATGGCTTCCTATGCACATGAGTTGTTCTGGTTCTGAGTATCAACCATCCCACATTTGTATGTGCTCCCTGCAGTGGAAATGTGGTCTCTTCACCACTAGAATGTCAGGGAAGTTCCTCTTTATATACATGTTTAAAGTTGTAGTATAATTGAAAAGAATTTCTGTCTTAAACGGACGTCATATTTTACAACACTTTGAATTTGTACTCTTCATATTGCCACTTCCATAGCTAGCCAGCAGTGCGATCCTGGGTAACTCAATGAGCACAGACTGCCTTGGATTCATCATGTATGCAGTGGGTATAATAAGAGACTACCTCACAGACTGTTAGGAGGACTCAAAGGATTAAACGTTTGAACTGTTGGAATAGTACCTGACCCTGTAATACTCACTAAGTGTTAGCTTCTAAGAGGGTAGAGTATCTTATAGGGATTGCTCTGTAAAAATGGACTGTTTCCTCCTGCTCTTTGACAAGCCATGTCTTACCTTTCCTCTTTAAAATGTAACATGCAGGCATCTTTCCCCTCATCAGGTTCTGTAAATTTGTCTGCTTGTTTTTGTTGTTGATCAGTCACTGAGTTGTGTCCAGCGTTTTGTGACCCCATGCACTGCAGCCTGCTAAGCTCTCCTGTCTTTCACTATGATCTCCCAGAGTTCGCTCAAATTTGTGTCCATTGAGTCAGTGATGCTATCTAACCATTTCATCTTCTGCCAACCTCTCCTCCTTTTGCCTTTAACCTTTCCCAGCATCAAGGTCTTTTCCAATGGGTCTGCTCTTCACATCAGGTGTCTACTTTAATAACAACAGAAATTGGTTAAAATTTACAAAACTGAAGGAGGAAGTAGAATTTCTTTTTTCAAATCTAAACTTTTAAAAATAACTGATGGAATATTAAAAGATTGCTTTTAGGGTAGTATATAAAAAGGAATACTCAATTCATGCTGAGCAAACTATAGGCTTCAATCACCTAAGCAATAACATAGGGTAGAAATCTTTTTTAATTTTTAGAATTTTGAATAAATTTGTCATGACATTACTATAGTTATAGGTCAGATCAAAAGCTTGGAAATATTTTTAAAATTTTCCCTCATATTTTAATCTCCTTGAGCTAAATTTACAGGTTTGAATTAAAATATGTTTCTATTTTCAGAGATGAGTAATGGGGATAACAGAAGCAGGAAGGATCTTTCCTTCTCCTCACTCATAGCGAATCTTGAGTACCTTCTCTTAGTTGATTTAATTTTCTGCAAAATGTCAAACTAGAGGAAACAAGCATCACGGTTATGTAACATCACAAAGATAGGAAATCAGGAGTTAGAAAAGTTAAGGGTGAGTTCTTTACTGGGCAAGTCTACTTGCCCGCTGCGCATGGCTTCCTATGCACATGAGTTGTTCTGGTTCTGAGTATCAACCATCCCACATTTGCATGTGCTCCCTGCAGTGGAAATGTGGTCTCTTCACCACTAGAATGTCAGGGAAGTTCCTCTTTATATACATGTTTAAAGTTGTAGTATAATTGAAAAGAATTTCTGTCTTAAACGGACGTCATATTTTACAACACTTTGAATTTGTACTCTTCATATTGCCACTTCCATAGCTAGCCAGCAGTGCGATCCTGGGTAACTCAATGAGCACAGACTGCCTTGGATTCATCATGTATGCAGTGGGTATAATAAGAGACTACCTCACAGACTGTTAGGAGGACTCAAAGGATTAAACGTTTGAACTGTTGGAATAGTACCTGACCCTGTAATACTCACTAAGTGTTAGCTTCTAAGAGGGTAGAGTATCTTATAGGGATTGCTCTGTAAAAATGGACTGTTTCCTCCTGCTCTTTGACAAGCCATGTCTTACCTTTCCTCTTTAAAATGTAACATGCAGGCATCTTTCCCCTCATCAGGTTCTGTAAATTTGTCTGCTTGTTTTTGTTGTTGATCAGTCACTGAGTTGTGTCCAGCGTTTTGTGACCCCATGCACTGCAGCCTGCTAAGCTCTCCTGTCTTTCACTATGATCTCCCAGAGTTCGCTCAAATTTGTGTCCATTGAGTCAGTGATGCTATCTAACCATTTCATCTTCTGCCAACCTCTCCTCCTTTTGCCTTTAACCTTTCCCAGCATCAAGGTCTTTTCCAATGGGTCTGCTCTTCACATCAGGTGTCTACTTTAATAACAACAGAAATTGGTTAAAATTTACAAAACTGAAGGAGGAAGTAGAATTTCTTTTTTCAAATCTAAACTTTTAAAAATAACTGATGGAATATTAAAAGATTGCTTTTAGGGTAGTATATAAAAAGGAATACTCAATTCATGCTGAGCAAACTATAGGCTTCAATCACCTAAGCAATAACATAGGGTAGAAATCTTTTTTAATTTTTAGAATTTTGAATAAATTTGTCATGACATTACTATAGTTATAGGTCAGATCAAAAGCTTGGAAATATTTTTAAAATTTTCCCTCATATTTTAATCTCCTTGAGCTAAATTTACAGGTTTGAATTAAAATATGTTTCTATTTTCAGAGATGAGTAATGGGGATAACAGAAGCAGGAAGGATCTTTCCTTCTCCTCACTCATAGCGAATCTTGAGTACCTTCTCTTAGTTGATTTAATTTTCTGCAAAATGTCAAACTAGAGGAAACAAGCATCACGGTTATGTAACATCAGGGCTTCATTAAAAACAAGAATACTAAAGGTGTGTTAGTTTATTTTACAGTAATCACAGTGCGTGAACACTGACACTCTTGTAATCTTTACAACAGTTCTATAATGTAAATATGTGCAAAAAAGCAAATATCTTACAAATGAGGCAATCAAGCCTCCATGAAGTTAAATAAGTTCCAAGGATCAGGTTTATAACGATGCCAACATCGTATCTTCAGACTGCATTTCCAGAACACCTTCCCAGGTTTTTTCCTTTGTTCTTCATTTTTTAAAAATAATCCCTGACAGTGCATTGACTTTTTAGCCCTGAAAGCACATAGGACCACTGTCTTTAGGTACCACCCACTTTACTTCTTAAGTGCTTCCTTGGTCTACACCAGTCGCTCAGAATCCACTTTCCTATAAATATGGGATAAGATCACTCACGTGCACCATCAATCAAGCGGTACCTTACAAACCTCCAGGTTCTTTCGAACCTAAAAGTCAGCCCCCAAATTGGAAAACTCACTTCACTTCCCTACCAACAACTGTTTTACGGTCTGTACTGTATCTTACTTATCTTCGACTTGTTTTATTTTACACATGTTAACATAATGCTTACTGTGTGCAGTCATGTTCTAAATGCTTCACAAATACTCTTTTTTTCAGCCCTTACAAGTCAAGCTCCATTATTACCCTCGTTTTGGAGGTGGGGTATGAAGAAGCCCTTGCCCAAGGGCACCAGGCTGGCGTGTGCAGGGTTTTTCGGAGTAATGATGCCGAACATCAGAGCCAGGACGGCGCCAGAAGCCCCGCTGGTGAGACTCCAGTCTAGATGAAAACGTGAACAGTCTCAGATGAAGAACTATGTACAGTCAGTCTATCAGCTCGATCGTCAGCATCAGGAAATGACTCTGACTAATACAAGGTCTAAACGTCAGCATGGTACCTTAAAAAGAAAGAAAGAACGCCATTTCAGCAACATGAATGGACCTAGATTGTCATCCTGAGTGAAGTAAGTCAGACAGAAAGAGAAACATCGTATGATATCCCTTCTATGTAGACTCGAAAAGAAATGATACAAACGCAGCCCCGCTCCACGCCGCGTGGCGGCCAGGATGGAGGCAGGGCGGCCCCGCTCCACGCCGCGTGGCGGCCAGGATGGAGGGGCCTTTGGAGGAGAGGGGATGCGTGTGCTCTATGGCTGAGCTGACTCGCCTGCACCTGAAACGATCGCAACGTTGTTAACCAGCCACTCCAGCATAAAATAAAAACTTAAAAAAAGTTTGCATGGTAGATTGGAAGGCAATGTAGAAATAATTAAATGAAAATGGAAAAACTAGCTTCATAGCATTACCTTAGACACTCCTGGCTTCACTGTTACACACACACACACGTAGATACATAGACACACATATTTATATATACAAAATTACGTATATGTATACACATATAATGCTATTTATATAGTAAGTTAACTAAAATAAAAATGGAAATTTCATTGCCATCACATAACTAAACATGGAGCATTTCCTTGAGAGAATGAATTTCCTTGCTATTAATCTTTTTGTAATCTTAATGGTTGGAGTTAAAATAACTACTTCAGTTACTGTTACAGAAAATTTTGTTCTATGAGATTGATCAAAATCACATTTACAGTCACTCTCAAAGGTAAGATGACTATCCCTCTCTATTCCTTTCCAAAAAACAAAAAAATACCACGCTTAATGACAAAAACAAAGTGACTAAATTTATTTTCACTGTTTCAAATGAACAGTTGATGTGAAAGTGTTTCAGAATATTTTTTAAAAGAATAATAGTATCTAACAATTTGAGCATTTAATTTGTGCCAGGCCCTTTTCTAAGAGCTTCGCATGATTACATCACTTAATCTCCATAATAACCCTGTGAAGTAGATACCATTATGATTCCCATTTTACACTTAAAGGAATTAAAGCTCAGAAAATTTACATAATTGGCCCAAGGTGCTATAGCTAGTAGATGAGGCAGATTTAAACTCCAAAAGTCTGACTTCAGAAGTTTTGCTTCTAACTATATGACAGAAATGGTGGGCAGAATAATACAGTTATAATTTGAAGGCCTTAACCTTGTCCATATTCTTATTTTAATCCTTCAAAAGTCCCTAGAAAATTAATAAATATCATTTGCAGTTAGGAAATCACAGTGGGATGGCTCCCAAATTCTCTGAGAAAAGAGATAAAACTATCATGTAAAAACTCCACTAATAAACATGACACATTGCTACCTGAGGCTGAATGCCAATCAAAGTCATTTTAAAAGACTTGCCTGTGGCTTGTGATCACTGCCTAGGCAAAAGATGTCTTCTCCCGGATTCTTAGAGCCTAACAATAAGCTAAGTTTTTGAACAACAGTTCCACATTACTAATTTTATGTGTTTTAAAAACTCTTAATGGAGGTACTAAGTCTGAAAATGTACCTATTTCTAGCTTGCAAATTAGTTCTACAATATCCTTTTTCTTACCATAAATTTATCTTTTAACTCTCTTGCCACTGGCACATATGATATTAGATCCATGAAAATAGCAAATATAGTCCAAAATATTTACGTCGCCTTATTATGTGACAGACACAGTCGTAAGCACATCATATATTTTAACTCATTTTAACTCACAACACTTTTATTAAATAAACAATGCTACTATTACTGTTTCACATATAAAGACTCTGTGGCAGTGAGAGCTTAGGCACTTTGAAGATCACTTACTAGTGACAGAGACTGGATCCGCACTGGACAATCTAGCTGAAGAGACCACGTTCATAACATCTATGTTGTACCATCCTGAGATAATCCAATGATTCTAGAACACCATTCGAGCCGCAGACTTATCTTTCGGGCAACTCATTCCTAGATTGTTGTTCAGTCACTAGGTCGTGTCGGACTCTTTGTGACCCCGTGGCCTGCAGCGCACCAGACTTCCCTGTCCTTCACGCTCTCCCAGAGTTTGCTCAGACTCATGAACATTGAGTCAGTGATGCCATCCAACCACCGCATCCTCTTGTCAATCCCTTTTCTTCCTGCCCTCAATCTTTCTCAGCATCAGGGACTTTTCCAATGAGTCGGCTCTTCGTATTAGGGGACCAAGTACTGGAGCTTCAGCTTCAGCATCAGTCCTTCCAGTGAATATTCAAGGTTGGTTTCCTTTAGGATTTGACTGATTTGATTTCCTTGAGCAAGTTGCCCAAGGGACTCTCAAGAATCTTCTTCAGCAGCACAATTCCTCATTTACTAAGCATTTGTTGAGTACTAGTTTTCCTAACCATCCATGTATGAGAATACAATGATAAATAAGGCAGAGAAAGTTTTAAGGAGAAGAGGAAGGCATAATCATTAAATAAATGATTAGTTATAACAGGAAGCTAAAATGCCAGCATAAAGTATATAGAAAGGAATGCCAGGGCATAAATTAACCATGCTTGGTCTAGAAGCCCTCACTGGAGGGAGGCGAGAAAGGAAGAGAGATATTTGTAGAGAAGGAAATAACAATAATAACAATGAATTAAAAAATAAAAAACAGAACCTATTCCCTTTAGATTTATTTACCTCAAGGAAAACAATGGTGATTTAATAACGCTACAAGAATATGAGTCATTTTATTGTCAGGATCCTTATAAGACACATGAAAGTGATAACTGTGACAACTTAATGAATGAATGATTTACAGGATTGTGGGGCAGGTTGAAGGCACCAGCAAGAGAAGAAGCCTGAGGAACTCTGATAGCCAGAAGCCTTCGCCATCTCCAGGGCGTCGCTAGTGGCTCAGACTGTGATATATAGGGGACTTGAGCTGGATCCTGGGTCAGGAAAACCCGCTGAAGGAGGGCATGGCAACCCACTCCAGTATTCTTGCCTGGAGAATTCCACGGACAGAGGACCCTGGCAAACTACAGTCCATGGGGTCGCAAAGAGTCGGACATGACTGAGCAACTGCCCCACTGTCACGCTGCCATCTCTAATCAGAGGGAGCAAAGTGGTGTCGCTGTCACGGATGACGGCAGAGGGTCTGGGGGAGCTGCATCTCTGGGTAGAGGGCCACAGACCCTACCAAGCCACAGCCCAAGCGATGGTTGGGGAAAAGACATAGTGTGACCTCATTGTCTCCTGTCCACCAGTGTCCTGCTAGGATCTCCGTGGTTGAACAGAGTGTGAGAGAGTTTATGTGATACAGTCTGCAGAAGTCAGAATCGCATCACCCGGAGCAGGATGAGAAGTATCAGTTGCTGACCTGGAAGGACAAATAAATGGAGAATAACCGACACTCAATTATAAGCTCAAAAGACGGTAGCTGGTATGTCATCATCTCAGAGAAAAGCAGGAAATGGATAGCAGCAGAGACACTTTTTTTTTGCCTGAAATGAAGACTTTCCTGGAAGAGTTACGTAAATCCTAAAATCAGCTATATCAATATGGACTTTGCAGAGATCTCATATGAAGATTTTTAAATTCAAAATTTGTGCCACTTTTTCTAGGCTCAAAACCCTCTCATACTACTAATGTTTTTTTAAAAAAAAATTTAATTGCAACTTAGTCCATATACAGAACCTACCTTTCATGACTTCTCTTTTAGAGAAGACTTTGTTCATTTGACCAGCAAAAGTTATCAATTCTACACCTAAACATCCTTATATCTATTTTCTCTTCCTATGGGTACCGTTCGGGTTTTTATCAGCCAAGCCTACTATTGCCCTGACAGCAGTGAACTCCATCTCCCTGAAATGACATGCTGCTATCTGCCCAGAGTCCTGACTATGCTTCCTAAATACAACATAAAATAAACCCAAACAAAGGCGCCAGGAATTTCACATAGAAAGACATTTTACTGATTATGTTTTCCAATTTGCATGCAATTTCCAGTCATTTTAACTGTGCAAGATTAGCATTTAATTACCATTTATTCTTTTTGGTTTTAGGGAGCCCCACTAATTAAGGGAAGAATTTAGATGAGTTTTGCTGAATAAGCAAAACTACTTTGATCTTTATGTAAAAATTAGGCATTCTAAGAATTCCATTCATCAGCATTAATGTTCCCTCTGGTCACATTTAGTTTTTTAGAGTTTTGTACTATTGCCCTTTATTAAACTTTCTTTTACATTGCTCTCAACAAAGATTTGAACTGCACAGTATCCCTTCTTTGTTAATTTTTTTCTTTGGTGAGAATGGGAAGCCAGAGCCAATTGTCAAAGCTGTCCTTGAGGGTGAAAAAGAGGGGAAGAAGATCAAAGAGGTAAGAGGGAAGACGTTAAGAGCCACAGTTGACTGCAAACTTTTGTATCTTTTAGGCGCAATTAAGGTTAGACCAAGAAAAAGCTAGCGGCTATTTATTGAGTCCCATTTCTTTCCTATTTGATACTCATTCAAAGTGATGCAATAACCTCACCAAATAGTGTGTGCCTGTGTGCTAAGTCACTCAGTCATGTCTGACTCTTTGGGACCCCATGAACTGTAGCCCACCAGGCTCCTCTGTCCACAGGATTCTCCAGGCAAGAATACTGGAGTGGGTTGCCATGCCCTCCTCAAAGGGATCTTACCGACCCAGGGATGGAAGCCGCATCTCTTATGTCTCTTGCATTGGCAGATGAGTTCGTTACTACCAGTGCCGCCTGGGAAGCCTCATATGGTATAAGGGTAAGCTATTGATAACATGGTACCATGACCATGAGTTTTGTCAATCTCTCTTCACAAAATTTAACTTCCTCATCTATGAATGAGGAAAGCTATCAATATTACCTATTTCACTTGGGAAGTTTAAGTAAGATAATAGTGATAAGTTATTTGAACAAAGTTCAACCTCTTATAGCTAATACATGGCAGAGTGCACACCCTGACTCCTTGACAGAAATCTAACCAGAAAGATAGAGAAGATCTAGATCCACTTAGCAATATTTCTCAAAGTGGTCCCATCCTACCTC